TTCCGGTATGTCTTCCTCTTCGGGAGGTTTGCACCGTTTTCCCCTCTGGCGAACGGATGGTTGCCATTCATGTTGGGGGTCATTGGCACGGTGCCATTCTTCTTCCGGAGGGACTGCTGTCCAATCTTCGAAGTCGTTGCCTCCTAGTTCTTCTGCCACCTTTGGAAAGTCCCAAGTCTGGGGCACTTCTGCACGTAGTTCTTCTATCAACTGCTCCTTCTCTGAGGCATGGCGTAGTTGTTCGGGGCAACATTTTAGCAGTCGACGTCCCCGAACCAGCCACACTGATGACCCAGGAACCAAATGACCCTGGGCGTCTCGGTGTTGTTCTGTAGCCAGTATCCGTGCTGGGCCAACAAATCGGCCTTGTGTGTCATTGGAAGGCTTGGCGTCCTTCCCCGTCACCTGCTTCCGCCATACAAAAACCAGGTCTCCAGCAGTGAAATCAAGTAACTTTCTGTGACGGGAGTTGGTTGCACGGGTGATTCGGTCGGCTGCGTTCCACTCCAAAAATGCCTTTTCCGCCGAAAGTCGGAGTTCTTCTGTTCTTTTGTGTGTTTGGGCTGGGCTCTCCACTTGGAGCTCCGGTGACAGGTTGTTGCCTTGTGAAAAAAACTTGCCTGTATCATCGGGCGCCCGGCCCAACACGTGTTGTATTGGAGAGTAGCCACGAACCACTTCCCGACAGTTGAGTGCTCTCACGCTCTCTGCGAGGGCATCTTCCGGGGTACTGTCAGGATGAGTGGAGAGAACTTTGTTCAAAATACTCTTGATAGCTTGGATCGTTCTCTCACAGACTCCTAGCTTCCAGTGTGCCTCACCAGGAATCACGTCCAGGTAAATTTGGTGCTGGTCACAGTATTCTCCCAGCTCCTTGCTACGAAAGGCGCCATCTGGATCTAACCTGAGTACTCGGGGTGTGCCAAAATAGCTGCACCATGCTTCTTTGAAAGTGGTGATAAACTGCGCAGCCGAAACATGTTGTTTCTTTCCCTTCAAAATGACTCTCGACACCTTGAACCTCGAGCCTTCATCAATCATCACCAAAAACTGGAATTTCTCCCCAGAATGGGGACGCACAAGATGTCCAACATCGGCGGCGACGGTATCGAATTTGGGTGGTTGAGGCTCCAAAGCGGCCAAGTTTCTGGGGTTAGGACGAGCCTTTTCTTCAAAAACTCTGGGCCGCTCGAACGATGTCCGGGTGCACACCTCGTTTCCTCAACGCCTGAACCATATACCTTGGGGGACCATGGCCGGTAGCCGCATGCAACAGATGCAGCTTCCTTTGGATCTCTTGGGGGCTCATGGAACATGGTTCATGTTGTTCTTCCGACGCCAACGCGCTCGCGATCTGCGGCCGACAATGGCCACACACGAGGTTCGCTCCATGAATGTGATGTTCCTCACAAACACACATGAGACCCTTACCAAACAAGTCCCCTTCCCCAACTTCACCTCTCAACTCCGATCGAATCGACGCGCTCGCTTCGCCCCTCACGATCGCTTCGCGCACGCGTTTCGCGAACTCTTTGGTGTAGTAGGCCGATTGCTTAGTCAGTTTACCTTCACAGGCCACGTGTTTCGTGTTTGGGGGGGCACTGACATGAGAGGTTCATGCGGGAGGCCAACAGGGAATTCGTCGTCATGATCTTCCACCCCTTTTGAATGAACGCTCCCTTCTCATCCCTCAAATTCACCCTACAACCCCTCACAATGGCGAAAGACACTTGGTATCGGGAGGACAGTTTTTGAATCAGCGGGAGCCTCCATGCTTGGCATGATTGGGACCACTCCCAACTCACATGGACACCGCGTTGCGCGCAGTAGGAAAAAATGATGGCTCCACCAACATACTGTTTCAACACCTGCTTTCGTTTTTCCTCCAGGTCATGTTTTTGTTGTTCACTTCTCTGGTTCATCACCGAGTAGGGACCACATTCCGTTGACAACCAAATATGTGAGGGTTTGTGACGATCAATTTTGTCCAAAACAGAGTGAACTCCTTCGTTGGTGGTGAGGTCATGATGATTCCAAATGGACAGGCGCATCGCGGACTTTTCACTGCCAGTGATGGTCTGCATTGTTGAAGTCAACACGCTATCGGGACTGCACGCCACCTCCAGGAGACGCACAAGCCGACCTGTGCATTCTCTTCATGAACGGCGGCTCCACCCTTGCAAAAAGAAACTCCGTCCGACTCGCACTGACCGCCTATCCCAAATTGACCGAAATTCGTACCTTCTCCTGATCTTTTCGCCCCCCTCCGTGCTCGAGCAAAGTCCTGCCTCCCTCATCGTGAGGCGTGTGTGAGTCAGAGGGATTCCTTTGAATGTGTTTTCTTTGTGTTGAGTGTAGCCGATGGAGAGGACGTAGAAGCTCCATCCAACGAAGCTCTTCATACGATCGGATTTAGGATATCATCAGGGACGCCTGATGACGTACCTGCTTTGTGATGACTTTTCACTTTCCACTGGGCACCGTTCTTAATTGGCAGTCAAGTGCTCGCGGATCGATTTTTCGTCGACTTCGTGACCCTGAAGATGGTTGAACTCCGCTCCATTTTAGGTTTCGGCGCACCTGAACTCTTAGGAATATGGTCACTTGGGTTGCCGCGTGGCGAGTGGCCTTCACATGTGTGTGGAACCCTTGTAGTCACAGGGATCCGTTTGGAGTTGTTTTCGTTTTTTAGCAGGGGGGCTGGTTGTTCAATGCAAGTACCAGCCCAACAAAGAGGCTTGCGTTGAACAGTGGGGACGCCCGCCGACGTACCTGCTCTTACTTGCAGGGTGGTTCGTCGGCGGACTTGTGCGTCGGTTCTACTTCTACCTATTTACTTGTAAACTGGTAAGGCAGACCTCCAACTTGGTGCCATGGCCTCTAACGTACTAATGATGACCTCCAACCTGGTTGCTTGGTGCGTTTTGAGTTTGTGTTTTGAGTTTATGTCTTGTGTCTTGTAAACTTGTAGCGCTGACCTCCAACCTGGTGCGGTGGACTAGCGATGACCTCCAACCTTGCTGTTTGATGCTGCTTTCAGTTTGTGTCTTGTAACCTTGTAGCGCTGGCCCCAACCTGGTGTTATGGCCTCCAACCCACTAGCGATGACCTCCAACCGTGTTGCTTGATGTAGCTTTGCGCGCATAACCGGCTAGCGATGGCCGCCAAACATGGGCGATGGCCTCCCACTTCCTAGCGACGGCCTCCAACCTACCTTTGCTGTTTTACTCAGGAATACCTAGGTTGGCGTGTGGCGAGTGGCATTCAGTTCCGTATGCATTTCCATAAGTGTGTGTGTAACCCTTCGAGTCACTGCACAGGGATCCGTTTGGAGTGTTCTTTGATTTGGTTTTTTAATATATAGACTTGCAGGGGCACTGAGCACTCCTTGGCAAACTCAGTGCAACAAAGCTATGCCTTGGAGTGGGAAGCACGGATTGATCACCCGTGTGTACCTGCAGTTTTACAGGAGAAATTCGTACTTGGTCCCGTTCTTAACTAGAACAATTTGTACAGCCTTTGCATCGGTTATGCGCTCGGCCGTCGTGCGGTTGTCGCATTGGTTGAGGCCTTGAGGTTTTGACGGCGTTTAGACCACCTTGTCTACACCTGTCTTGGTTTCTGTGGTTTTCACCTAGGCCGGCGTGTGGCAAAGCGCAACCAAATCAGTACGCGTAACCTGGCTTCACGCCAGCCCAGGGTGAGCCCGCAGAGTGCCCCCTGTCGACCTGTTGAACGGGGGTTTGTCGAACGTATCCCCTGCCCGGATACAGAGTGGCTTAAGCCAAAGTTATTTACCAAGACTTGATGAACTATTGAATTCCAAGTAGGCAGTCTTCGGACAAGCCATGAGGTGACCAAAGCGGTCAGCAGTAGGCAGCCCTCGGGCACCCCACCACGTGGTCGCAGCCACCAAGGTTCAGTGGAACCTGTCGCACTCTCAGGTGCACACACAGCATGTACATTCAAACGAGGCAGGTTTTCCTAGGTCGTTGTAATGAGATTTGGTTTCATCGGTTTCCGTCCCCTCCATTTGGTTCCCTTTTCATCCTTTTCCCCTTGACACATTTCTTTCTCTCTTCTTTTCTTTCATGTCTTCCCTCGCTTCATGTCCTGTCATCTCATCTCTTTCCTTCTTTTGCGTGCACACGGCTCGGCCCTTAGTATGTACGCGCGCAAGCTACTTTCAACTCAGGTTTCAAGTCGCCCAGATCTTTACAATGAGGTGGGTTGTCACCGGTTGTCCCTGTGCACTTGGTTCCTTTTCATTGCAACCACACACACCTTGTCCCGTCCTGTCTCCACTTCATGTCTTCATTCTTTTGTGTTACTGCGCACACACACTAACACATTTGCCCTGACCTTAGTGCTTCTTGCTTCCCCTCGGGGAGGCGCGTGTGTGTAACCCTTGGAGTCACAGGGATCCGTTCGGAGTGTTCTTCGATTTGGTTTTTCAAGAGACTTGCAGGGGCACTGAGCACTCCTTGGCAAACTCAGTGCAACAAAGCTATGCCTTGGAGTGGGAAGCACGGATTGATCACCCGTGTGTACCTGCAGTTTTACAGGAGAAATTCGTACTTGGTCCCGTTCTTAACTAGAACAATTTGTGCAGCCTTTGCATCGGTTATGCGCTCGGCCGTCGTGCGGTTGTCGCATTGGTTGAGGCCTTGAGGTTTTGACCGCGTTTAGACCACCTTATCTACACCTGTCCTGGTTTCTTAGGTTTTCACTTAGGCCAGCGTGTGGCAAAGCGCAACCAAATCAGTACGCATAGTCTGAAGTGTGTGTCAGCTCTCATCGAAAATGTGTTTTCATGGGCACGCTGCTCGGTGTGTGGGCGCTCATTTGTGCGCTCTCATGTGCTTGCTCACAGCCGTGTGCTCTCACACCTGTGCTCTCGTTTGCTCTCGCATGTTTGCTCTCATATGTGTGCTTTCTATGTGCGCTATCAGCCGCTATCATATGTGTGCTCTCACAGTTTTTTTGTGTGCTTTAATGTACGTATTTAGCGCGTGGAAATTGGTTTATTCACCCTTGCTTTTCTTTTACTTAATGCTGTGGCGTTTTTTGCCAGGACAGTCTCACACATGTTGCAGGACATTTCCAACAGCTCGAACATGGTTCCTTTTGAAACAATTTTTTTCACCACCGGATGTCTCTGGAAGGCGTGAAGTGAATTGTGATTGTGATTGGACTGGTGAGACCTGGGTGATGCCCAGTTCTTGGCTATAGATCGGGCAGCCCCAATTCTGTTCGGTGGGTGGAGGAAAAACTTTGATGTGGAAACCATCAAAGGCCAAGACAAGGAACTTCTCCGACCTGCGTTTGTGTGAAATGGTTTGCGCATGCCACTGGGGCTTGATTGGTGCACATTCGCCCAGAGCAATGTTTTCAGGCCTTGTAGACGTCCATGCATTTTTGACAACGATAACCTTAAAAAAAAATGTATCAAACCAAAAGATCGTTGAACGTGCTCTACTTTCCAGCAGCTAGCGTTTCCAAACAATTTGCGCCGAACGCAGGCATTTTGAATTTTCAGGCAAACTTTCGAGGACAAGTCTTGATGGTTAGCCATGGCAAAGCGTTCCAAGCTTGGAAACCTGGACCTTTTGCAGTTGCAACCCTCGTAAATATTGCCTTGGTTCTTGCATTCAATCCTGCCCAACCTACCAACGAAGAGAAACTAAAGTTTGCCAGGGCACATGTTTCTGTGGTTCCAATGTTTGGTTTAATTTGTGCACTTTTTGACTATCATCATTATTAAAATTCCTTTGGATTGCAAAGTTTTGTTTAGACTTATTGTCGCCACCAACATTTTAAGGGCTGTAGTATTTAGGCAAAGGCATCACATGTCACAACGCCCTACAATGAGCGAACCGTGTGCCATCCACATCTAAGGCAACCTGATGAACACATTCAGTGTGCTTGGTTGGACACGTTAGCATTCTACGTGCAGATGCTTGGTTACAATCAGTCGCAACAGTGAAATTTTGTATAACTACTTGCAACAGTGGCTGCAATACTTGCAGGTGTGATATTTTTGCAAATCCCGCATTTGCCTTGGCCACGTCAAGTCGTCATGTCTTGCACAATTCACTGAGGATGGCTGCAAGCTTGGGAGCGGCTTGTGCTGCTGCCTTTCTGTTCAAAAGAGCTGGAGCTTCGCAGCATGCTATGTCAGCTGTGGGCTATGCGCTCCTGATGCTTGCTTGTGTGTTGCTTAATGGATCTCAGCTGTAAAGCCAGTAAAGGAAGGAATGTTTGACCTCGCTGAACTGGGTCCATGTGGTGTAGTGCTGAGGAATTGGTTGCAGTCCGTGTTGATGACGCTCATGGTAGCAGCCAAACCTTGGGGCTGCCGTTATGGCTTGTTGCCGACCAAGCAAGATCTTCCTGGAAAATGCCATAATGATCAATGCATCATCCTTTTTACACTTGGGAAGGTTGGCGGCCGTGTGTGTGTTTTTTCCAAGGGTTCCAGGGTGGGCAAGAGAGAGACGTTTGTGCGCCCGTGGCTTGTTGAGGTGCGTTGGGATTTCTTGAGTCCATTGAACATGATCTTCTGGATGCGTCTGCTAGCCTATTTGGCAGCACTTATTTGGATGCAATGGCTTCTCCAGAGACGGATTCATGCATTAGAGAAGTCTTCCGGGTGTCAATATGGGGGTCAGTGGGTTTTGCGCCTTTTGCAATTGCAAGCGCTCTGCATTTTCTTTGGCATTATGATTCTTGGCCCTGGGATCGCCTTGCTCCTCATGCCACCCACAGAGGTTGTTTTTGTGATGCTCAGCATCGCACTCGTTTTGGGGCTTGTTGGAGCGGCTGGCTTCATGGTGGCAAACCTGCTTTCATCTGCCATAGCCATTTGGGCTCTTGTCCGATTGGTGCGTGACTTGAACCAGGCACGCATGCTGCAAAACACACCTTGCGACGTGAAGGAACGCTTGGAAGAGGTCTGGCGAAGCAACCGACGGCAGACTATCGCAGTGGCCTTTAGTTTGTTTCTCTCAGTGGGTTTGTCACCAGCAGTGTTGTGGCAGCTGCATGTCACCTTCAGTTCAAATATGAAAGATGTCGAGTATCCGGCGGAGCACTTGACCTCAGTCCTGGTCGGCGTCTCAGTCCAGGTCCTGGATGTCCTAGGCAATGCACTGGCTGTCATCTTGCTTTCAGGCACTCACCGTGTGATAGAATCTGACAGCATGTGCAACTGCCCCACAAGTAGCTGTTGCTTCAAGCGACAGGGTGAATGGGATAGGGCCTGGAAGGAGAAGGTGGAGGAATTGTCAATGCGGGGCATAACACTAAATAGCTTGCTGAAGTTCTATGAAGAGGATCTTCTCCTCTTTGACGGATGGCAATACGCGCCAGGAAAACACAGGACACGAGACGTGGTCCGTCGGGTCATCATTCCTGTTACTGCCGGAGAGCTGGAGCCCTGTTCTTATGCAACCTCTAGCTACAACCGGGACAAAGCGCAAAGAGCACAGATCATGGTGACGCACAACTGGGACAATCTCTTCAAGGACCTTCTGGCAGCAATCGTGGCCAATGCACTGCAAGAGTGCAGTTTCCAGGTAGCAACCAGGATGTTGATGGAAGACGTGCCGCTCCTTCGTAACATTTTGGAGAAGAATGGCCGCTTGAGGGATGTCTATTGGGTGTGTGCGTTCTCCGTAAATCAACATGTTTCGATTTGTCATACAAATAAGTGGGACAAGGATCCCATCTCGAAGTGGTTGCATCCAACTTGCAATTGCTCGTGCTCCAACATTGAAGACCCAGATGGGCAACATCCGGAGTCTGAAATGAACAAGTTTGATGATATGATGAGGCACCTGGCAAGCACACCAGGAGGCTGTAAGCACTTGATTGCGGTGGATCGATCTATGAATCTTTTTAAGCGAGCGTGGTGCATTGCGGAGATTGCTGAAGCAAAGCGGCTCGGCATGCGCCAGAGCCTCAAGCTTGTGTCCAAGGAGATATTGCTACAACGCCAACCGAGTCTTGAGAATCTGGATATTTCACAAATGCATTGTCACAACAAAAATGACCTCACTATCATACTGAAAAAGATCACAGACTACGTCACCATCACCCGCTTCAATGAGCAATTGCAGTCCCTGATCTTTGACTCGAGAACAGGCCTTGGAGCTCCCAGATTGAGCTTCTTGTGGACCAAAAGAGCTACAAACGTAAGTAGCACAACATTCATATATCCCTCATGTTCTTGTTTTCAGGCCTCTTGAAGTCCTGGGAGCGCTCCGACAATTTTGAGCGTATGGGCGAGGCTGGCCGCCTCTTGCGCTGGAGCTTGGCAGATCACGGAACTGGCCAGGTCTGGAGGTTTTGGACCATAGAGAACTCAGAGGCACTTTTGCTCAAACAGAGGTGTTTTGGTGTGTTCCACATGCTCTCATTTGCGTGTGAGTAATCTCTTGACAAACATGATGAACATGATTCAGTCACGAGTCTTTTGATTCTATTCTTATCTTATTCCAAAATGACGTCACAAAGACTCGCCAGCTAGTGGTGTGGTGAACTCTCTGTGTGTTGATGCCAACTGGTGGCACCTGGGAAGCATGTCCAGACGTGCCCTAGGCAGCCCTAAGGATCAAGAGGGTCCAAGGAGGGCCCAACAAACCAGTAACCATGAATCACTGCTCAGCACAAACCCTTTCAGCGTGAACACTGAGAGTCTGAGAGTTACAAGCCGCATCCAATTTTGGATGAGCAGGTTCGCCATTGCCGCTGGGTATATCCATATAAGTTGAGCTCCCAGATGCATCTGCACAGACCAGAAAAAACCATGTGCAACTCACCAAAAAAGTCATACAACCCTGAACTGATCACTCAAAGTAACAAAACAGGCTGCATGATTATAATGTTCGGACAGCAAAACATAATTCGCACGGCTCTCAAAACACAATCAATAGCTGCAAAAGTTGATCAATCTATACATTTTTCTTGTCTACTTAATCTTTCCCGGAGATTTCCTATACCTTGCCCTTCATCCAAACATATACTGCAGTGCCCCTAGGGCCATGTTGTGGGTGGTTCTGGGAAAGACTGGGCTGGCTTCGACCAATCCTACTTCAGCACACCCTTACCCGCTAGCACCAACCCCCCATTTCTCTATCAAGACTGTGCAGTGGAATGAAAGTAGAACCTAGCAGTTGAATGAAAGTAGAACCTAGCCCTTTTCCAGTCAACATCAGGCTCGGCTAGAGCACCGGAAGTAGAACAAGAAAAGCGCATTCCCGCAGTAATTCCGGTGATTATCCTGGCACCATAGTGTTGTTTCCAGTCTAGAGCTGACACAGCTAGAACACCGGAGAGAGCTGGAAAAGAATGCATTCTGTCGCTAAATCCGGTGTTCTCGTGGCACTATGTTCCTCTAGCTCCTTCCCGAAATCTGCCCTATTTGTGTCGGATTTCCCTTATTTGGACACCGTCTTCAGTGGATGACGATGGTAAGATTTCAGGCCGACAGGAACAAGAAGCTACTAGGAGCTCCTGGCATAGCTACTAGGCGCACGAACGTTACTAGGGGCTCCTGGCCGTACTACTAGGAACAAGGACGCTACTAGGGGCTCCTGGCCTTACTACTAAGAACAAGAAGCTACTAGTAACAAAGGGCATCGCTACTAGGAGCAAGGAGGAGGATGCTATTAGGTTGGAGGCCATCGCTAGCTCCCTTCATCTCTCTTCTGCTCTCTTGGGTTCCAACACGACCTAGGTCCGCTTCTCTCGGGCATCTCGGGCATCTTCCGTGACCATTTCCCTTTGATTGTAGAACAAGGGCGCAGAAGTCGCCAAGTTGTTGCATTGATGTTTTTGTCCAAAAGGAACTGTTCAATTCATTTTTGATCCCATTTGAGTTGTAATGTCTGCGAGAGATCCAGATTTTGCCCATATCCACAGACTGAACGAAAGAGGGTTCTCAACGTAGACGTACAACCGTAGCATGACTCAGAAGCTCCGATGGATCGGCCTGTAGAACACTGTGAGAGTGTCGTTACATAAACAGGCATTCTGTGGCCGAGCATGGAGGCCATCGGCCATCGCTTTTAGGGTGGAGGCCATTCCTGGCCTTTTCATTTCTGCACTATTCTGTACAGACAAAGCAAAAAGAGAGCAAAGCTGAGCGACTGAGCATGCAGTGATATTAAGTGCATGAGCACAAGGGCGCCGCATGTGTACCCAGCTTACGAAGATGCATTGAATGGAGCCTTGTCGGCTCAGTTCAATTGTTTGCATCTTGGGAAGCAGTGATGATTTGGTTCCCGCTACCTGGCTGCATGCGTTGTCACCAGCTCATTTCACTCCTTACCCTTGCACATTTAGATTTGGTTTGGGTATTGTGGTCTCAAGAGGTTTTGGAAAGCATTGGCCCGCATGACGTGCAAACTTTTTTGACATATGAAAGTCTAAAGGCGTTTTCATGTTGGGTAGAACATTGCATTTGTGTTCGTTCACTCTCTATTGCATTTGTTCTTTTTTTGTCGAGCCCAACTTGCACACTTGGCCAAGGCTTCTTGCTTTGTTGGTATTGAGAGTCAGTGGGAAGGGAGGAGGATACAGCAGCGGCGGATATAGTTTCTTGGTAAGAATTCAATTTGCTTTTGTTCACTCTGGCCTTGATTGACTCGATCATGTGGATTGGACGAAATCTCACATGTCCAAGTTCTTGCTATCCCCACACCATCAGGCTTGTCGCCTTAATCATCCTTTGCAGGCGGCGGCTACTATGGCGGCAGCGGTCTGCCACTGCTTGGGTTTTGACATCGGATGACATGACTTACTAGGAGCAATGTTCGCTACTGGCTCCTGGCATCGCTACTAGGAGCAAGGGCGCTACTAGGGGCTCCTGGCCGGACTACTAGGAACAAGAAGCTATTAGAAGCAAGAATTCATTAGACGTAGAAGTGAAGTGCAGTCCAAGACCTGCATTCTTAAAGCATTCATCGTTTGGTCACACCTTTTTGGTGGTGTAAGTCACCACCGGTTCGCTCGACCGGAGCCAGGTGTGGTGACCTCGCGCGCGGCCTACGCCTCAGCGGGCGCCTTTGGTGCTGTGGTGCTGCTGAGCGCTGGCAGCCGGCGGCGCTATGGAGTCTACAACGACCCCGACGACTCCTCGAAGTGTTTGTTACTGAGCCTTGGCAAAAAACAGGTTTTGTGAACTCGGATGTTTTTGCGGTGTGTTAGGTGTGATTTGCAACTGGTGCAGCGACACAGTTAAAGCGCATTTCGTTGTGCCACCACTCCTGTTGCCCGCCTCTTTGTGTTCACCTGAGGTCTGAGGAGGAGATGCAGAGCGCTTGCACAAACCTCATAGGTGTGTCTTGGCCAAATGGGCATGATGTATCATTGGAATCATGAAGACGGCCTATTTGCTTTCCGTCCGGCGAAGCCGAAATGTCGAAGTCATTTCAGGTCGAGACGCAATGCCACGACTGCATCGCCTGCGAAACCGAGGACGTCGATCTACTGTGACATCGATTTGTTTTGAGTTTGTTTCCCTGCATCTACTGTCCTTTACTAGTAGTAACAAGAAGCTACTAGTAACAAGTGCCACGCTAGTAGTAACAGGTGCCTTACTAGTAGTAACAAGAAGGCTACTAGTAACAAGTGCCACGCTAGTAGTAACAAGTGCCTTACTAGTAGTAACAAGAAAGCTAGTAGAAACAAGAAGCTGCGGTTCTTCCCACCTCCTCGGACATTTGGGCCCTTTGTTTGGAACATCCAGAGGGCATTACTAGTAGGAGGCCAACGCTATTAGGCTGGAGGCCATCGCTACTAGTAGCAAGTTGCCTTACTACTAGTAACTTGTTACCAGTAAGGCACCTTGCTACTAGTAGCAAGAAGTTACTAGGTCAATTGCCCGAGGTGGGACACCCATAGCGATTGATCGACAGCTTGCCTACTGTACAGGATTGCATGAACTCAATCACTAATTGTGACGAGTTCTTGGCAACGGCCCACAACCCAGGGACTGGGGTGCTGGGTAGTACACACATGCCGCGCTGGGGGTCGTATATGCCATGTTGAAAAGTAAAGACAGATAGACAGGGCAAAGTAGATCTGCAGGGTCACTGACAACAGAACAAACATGCAAAATGCTGAAATGCTTGCTCAACCATCTGCTTGCTGTTGGATTCATTGCCCGCGCCGCCTCAGGTATTTTCAGAGTGCTGCATTGAGAACTGCGAAGAGGACGACGCGATAGCGATCATCATCGCATCTGTGTTCACTATTTGTATCTGTGCCTGGTCTTCAACGGACGCTGCTGCAACAACGCTTTTTTGTTCACACTTTACATGGTGTTTGAGGTTGTGGAATCGGCGGCTGTATGTGGATGAGAATCAAGCAATCCATCAGCGCAAACGAGGCATGACCAACGCTGACTTGTTTTGCAATTCAGTAGCCTTTTGAAAAGACCGAGAAACTTTGCTGTACGTGTTTCACTTCCGGTTTCATTTCTTTTGCGATCTGAACAGGTTTTGGTTCCTCACACCCAAGCGGAATAGCTGCACAGTGTTCCGACACCCCGCTGTTGCAGGGCAGTGCCATGGACAACAACTCTATGTCCGGGCCTGGTGGCTTCCCAAACCCACAAGGCTGGCTGGTCTGCCTGTGTTTGGAACGTCATGAGGTCAAAGGGACAGAGAAAGCGTTTTGGGGAAGCTGCCAGCCGCTAGCGATGGCCTCCAACCTAGCCGCTAGCTAGCCTTTCATCAAATTGAACTGAAGGCCTGTAACTTGCGCTGAATCCGGATCACCTGCACTGCGTAGGTGCCTACCAGACCGGCTCGGTTGTACAGGGCACGGTGGTGCAGGGCCAAGTCATTGGCATAGGAGGCGCGAAGTGTGCGGATTCTTTTTGCAGAGCTTGTCCCAGACGTGTGCGGAGATGCTTTTGTTTTCTCCAAAAAGTTGACCCTTTGAAGATGCAAGGACGCTACTAGGAACAAGGACGCTACTAGGGGCTCCTGGCCTTACTACCAGGAACAAGGACGCTACTAGGGGCTCCTGGCATCGCTACTAGGACCAAGGACGCTACTAGGGGCTCACTTTGTTCACTTTGTTTACCTGGCATTTTGAAGCGCGAAGTCGCCAGGCCAACCTGCTGCGGCACCTCAGAAGGTGGCCTAAGAGCAACGCAGAGCAGTGCAGGGCAGCCGAAGGCTGGGACCTCGGTGGGAACTCAAGGACAAAAGAAAGGTCTCAAGAGAAGAAAAAGACTCAAACGGACAAGAAACATTCAAAAAGACGAAACGTGTCAAACGCTCATTACCCCTCACAACGGTAGAGCCTTATCTCCGCTTTAGAGCCTCGGGCCTCAGACTTGTCCAAGGCGACTGCGAATGCGACAGCGTTCCACCTTCCAATCTGCTTTGCGTCAGTCGAGACACGCGCTGAGTTGAATCTGCTTTTCGCCGCTTGCGTCTGGTGAGCGCGGAAGTCTGGCTGAGACGTTTCAGCGGTCTGTTGAGAGCTTGGTGCAGAGAAGACTTGAGCCATTTTGAGGAAACACACCATGAATGACAGTGAAGATTGTTGACCAATGCAAGGCCTTGCTGTGGCATTAAGCTACCAAGTCTTGGTTGAAGTTTTTTTGCACTGAGCACACGATTTGCACGCTTTTCCAGCAGACCAAATTAGTGAAACCAAGCAGCGGAAAGCCCCATCCAGGCCTGATTTGGGTGCCATGATTCGATGGGATACGAAGATGCAGCTTCTTACCAAAAAGATGTCTAAAGTCTGAAGTGTATAAAGGGAAAAAGAGTTCTATAAACAAGAAGCAAAAAAGCAATTGCCTCCAACCTAAGAGTAAATGGCCTCCAACTTAATAGCGTCCTTGTTACTAGTAGCTATTTGCTACTAGTAGTAAGGCCAGGAGCTACGAGTAGCGTCCTTGCCCCTGGTAGCGATGCCCTTTGTTACTAGCCTGATATAGCCAGTGGATTTGGAGGATCTTCGACATTCAGGTTGTAGAGGTCAAAGAGGCTGCGAACCCGACTTCCAGTGGGCTTTCTCTTCTTGAGCGGGGCTGGCTGTTCTAAGTTTCACAGATGATTCTCACATGCACAGGCTTGTCATTTTCTATGGCCGTGCAGCTTTCACGGCCAAGACGTGCTGAAGGGTTTGCTTGGCAAGTCACACGTGCCAGCAAGTGCTCACCATATCAAAGAGGAGTCTTGTCAAGTACAAAGTCTGTTTGGCCTGAATGCCTTACCCAATATCCGTTGTACCACTTGCAGGAATGCTTGGAACGGCATATGTTTTTGTTTCCCATGCCTGCCTTGGGGAACATCACTCCATACCGCTCCTGGACTCACTCTTTCTTCCAAGAATCCTTGTAGAAGGAACACTGAAGCCTTTAGGAGCAAGGACGCTACTAGGGGCTCCTGGCATCGCTACTAGGAGCAAGGACGCTACTAGTAACAAGTGCATCGCTTCTAGTAACAAGTGCCTTACTAGTAGTAACAAGAACGCTAGTAGTAACAAGTGCCACG